ACACCTGCATGTACAGGCATGGGCATGCATTTGAGTGTGCATGTGCACACTGTATGAGCCTAGAACAAGGATCGGCAGCCTTTTTCTGCAAATCCAGTCAATTTTTTTAGCCTCTGAGGCCATCAGACTGCTTGACAGTGATTTTCTTCTGCGGCTATCACTCAGAAGCAACCACAGATGCCCATAGAGAGGTACAGGCAGACTTTACTTATGGATGCTGGATATTTGAATTCAAGGTGATTTGCATATACCTGAAATAAAGGGTTAAAATAGTTATTCTCCACCATTTAGAAACAGACAAGCCATTCTTGGCTGCTGTACAAAAATAGGGAGTTAACTGGAAAAGCTCGACAACTCCTGGTCTATAAGGTTAAGAAAAAGGCTAGGAAGTAGGAGGCTTGGTGCTGGGGGCTGCAGGTTCCTGAGGATAGCCTGGATGCTTCCTTCCCCACTGGAGCTGAGGTCTCCTGTCGGATGTATTTGTCCCAGAGGGGCCTAGCATTCTGTCCAGGCCAGCTTCCATTGTGTGTCTGGGCCAAGGGCTCCTACTTGGCTTTTCCTTCTGCTTCTTTCCCAAAGGAGGAGGTTTTAGAACTTTCCCACCCTTCCATGAGGCAATGCATATCCTTTATCCTTCTCAAAGTGCTTGAGGAAGGGTAAGAAGAAGTGGGGTGGGTCCTGCCCTGGTTCAATTAGTACAGCCTCAGATGGGAACAGAGGAGATGATGACCTTTTCCTGCATGTTCTCTGTGCCATTGCTTGGGTCTACTCAGAGAGAGATGGTGGGAAGCAGCCAGTAGCCCCCAGCAGAGGGGCTGGGATAGGCACTCAGGGCCAGGAGAGAGAGAGAAGGGCTATCCTTGCCCCTAGTGGAGGTTTTCCCAGGTCAGAGGGACCTGTGCAGCCAGAGCCACTCCAGGGGAGGGATGCAGGGAAATCCCAAGGTCTCATGGAGGCACTGGGGGGTCCTGGCTATGGGGGCCTCTCTGGACAGGACAGTGGCCATGGGGTACGCACTCTCTGGGAAGAGCTGGAGGGTCTGCAGTTTCTCCCCTCCTCCAACATGGGGCTGGTGAGTCACCGCTGGCTCCATCCGCTGACTGCTGACTGAGGATGCACCCGTCACTGCTCACTGTTGGTGGGGGCACCCCTGCCTGCCAGGATCATAGGACCATCTCCTCCCCTATCCTGAGCTGGGTTTCCCTGTTGGAGAGGAGGGTATGCCATTGTTCTGCCTGCCAAACTCTCCTCCATTTCAGGCATCTGTTACATACCCCATTCCTGCCAGGGCCTATGCTGTGACCTGCTCCACTCTGATCTCAGTTTCCCCACCTGTCCCATTGGAGGTGGTCTTTAAAGTTGATTTCAGGATATAGATGTCTGCATCTATACAGGCACAGGATGGAGTAGGAGGGCCACAGCAGGCCTGGGGATAGGGGTGTGATGAGGCATCCGTGGGCTCTGAGCTGGCCTTTATTTTACCCATGTCAGAGAGCAACCATGTAAGCATCACAGCCATATCACTTGGGCACTCTGTCCAGCCCTGCTATGTGCTTGCTGTGGGGCCTTCAGGCAGTCTCTTGGCCTGTCTGTGCCTCAGTCTCTCTTATTTTAGAACAAGGACAGTGCTAGAAACTACCTTGTAGGTTTCAGGAGCTAATGTACATTTATTGCCTGGAAGAATGCCTGCATGTACTAAGAGTACTTAGTGAACACCCCATTGCGAAGAACCTGCCTGTACCGAGTATGAGCACTTAGTAAACACAGCTGGCAAGTGCCTGCCTGTACTGAGTATGAATACTTAGTAAATACACCCTTGGGCAAGTCAAGATGCAGCAGCCATTCTCCCCATGTGAGACAGTGAAACAGGTCTGGGCAGGAAGTGCTGAGGTTAGAGCCATAGCCCTCATTTCCTATGGCCTTGAACTCACATGTGTGAGATGGGAATTGCTATCCTTCCTCATCTACAGGTAAGCCTAGAAAGGTTGAACAGCCTGCTTAGGGCCTGAGGCCAAACAATCTAGCTAAGTGGGGAGTGGTTCCCACATCTATCATGCTAAACACTCAGTGATAGAGTTCAGTTGTCCTCAAAGTCAACTACCAAGTGGAACCTGGACCCACGGGGTAGCATGTGGGAATATATGGAGCCGTCAGGTCATCCATCCAAGCCCAGTGTCTGTCCTCACGGGTGCTGTCTAACCCTAGTTGTGGTTGTCTGGCTCATCTCCTAACAGAGCTGTGGCTGTGGTCACCAAGTTCATCTCCTGATGGGGCTCTGGCTACGATTACCCGGTTTATCTCCTGGTAGGGCCCTGGCAATGGTTGCCCAGCTCATCTCCTGGTGGGAAACCTGGCACCTTGGGAGACAACGGAGGAGGAGACAGCCAGGACGGAGTTGAGCAGCTGGCAAGTGGGCACAGGCCCAGGGCACACATCTCTGAAAGCTGACCTTGGCAAGAGGAGACAGGCCTGTGCCTGGAAGAGCCTGGACAAGTGTGTTTGGGCAGGTGGTCTGGGACAGAGTTGTCCACCAGGCACTGTGCAGGGCGGGAGGGAACAGAGCCTACAGACATTCTCGTGGGCACAGGGAGCCAGGGTGGGGCACCCTAGAGACTGTCTCCTCTCTTTGGTGGGGGCTCTGTGCTGCTGGGTGGTAGTGGACTGCAGTGCAGGGGGCAGGCCTTGGTTCTTGGGCTAGCGCACCTCTTCTGTGCACATAGGTGGTGAGGTGGTGTGACAGGCTGGTGGAGCTCCAGTAGAGCTGCGGTGGTAGATGGTGGTGAGCATCCTGCCTGTGTGCCCATGGGTGCACGTGTGTGTTTACCACTGCCCATGCTGCTGAGTGCATCTGCAGTGTGTCTCAGGGCTGTGATTTTTAAGGGTGCCTCTGCTCGCCACCTGAGGTGTGCATCATGGTGTGCATCCACAGGCTGGCCAGTACATAGGGACATGCAGCTGCCCTGCATTGGCATCTGCACATATCTACCTGTCCCTGGTGGAGTCTTGTGCCCATCATGGATGTTTGCAGCGAGTGTTCCTGTGTGTATGAGGGGTGTGCTCATCTATAAGCTCATCTCTATGGATTTGGGTTGTGTGTATGTGAGGATAGAGAGTGTGTGAGAGCGAGCAAGCGAGCGAGCGAGCGAGCGAGAGAGAGAGAGAGAGAGAAACTTCAGAATGCAGCCAGCCTTCCCTCACCTGCCCCTGCTCCCCCTCCAGCCCTTCCTGCTTTCACTCTGTATTTACCCCATGGTCTTAACAAAGCTTAATATAAAACCTTTATGACCCCAACCCTCCTGATGCTGCCTGGAGATGGAGAACTGGGGCAGGTGGGCAGAGGGCTCTGCTTCCCTGAGCATGGGGATCCAGTGGCCAGCCAGGCCACAAGTGGCCAGGAGATCCAGCTAGGGATAGGCAGTGCTGGTGTCACTGGGGACCAGTAGCTCAACTTTCCTGTGTGTGACCTGATGTTGTCCAAGGGGTCCAGGAGGCACCCTGATCTCAGATGATCTCCACCTTTCCAGCAACTTTCACCCCTGGCTGCCATTCAGCCATTGCTGGGGTACAGGGGACCAGGCACTGCTCCACCCCAGCCAGGCAGAGCCCAGGATGATGGAGATGGCTAAGCCCTCTGGTGCCCACCAGTGCCAAGCTGGAGGCACTTCCTATGTGCCTGACATAGGTGCTAACTGGGTGTTCAGAGGAATAAATCCTTCTGCCCTCCCAGCCTCTGGCTTCAAGAAGCGGCCAGGTTCTTGGCCACCATGCCCAGGATTCCCTGAGCACCATCCTCAGCATCTGCATAGCCCTGTATAGTCCTTCTGCCTCTGTCTTTGTTTCTTCTTTGGGTGCTTGCTTATTGGCAGCCTGGGGAGGCCAGGAGTTGGAGGGAGACAGGCCTGTTTAGGCTGAGAGCCAGGGCCCACAGTAATATTAGGACTGCCTGCTGGGCACGTGTACAAGGCCTCCTGGTCGTTGTGCTAGAGCAGACTCTCTCCAGTTCTGTGTGGCCTCCTAAATCACACTCTGTGGGTTAGCAGTGCTCCCAATGTTAACCCTTTCTTGAGCAATTTAATAATTTAATAGCAACTTGGGCTGTTATGTTCTTATTGGTCGAACAAGCACTGCCCAGCAGTGCATGTAAGATGGCTTCTGTGCTGTCCCCTTTGTCCTAGATCTTGTTTTGTTATTTGTTTGTTTTTGTTCGGGTCCAGGCCTGGGTACTGCCCCTGAGCTTTTTACTCAAAACTGGAGCTCTACCATTTGAGTCACGGCTCTGTATTGCACCTTGTTGGTGGTTAATTGGAAGTAAGAATCTCACAGACTTCCTTGTCTGGTTTTGAACCATGATGGTCAGATCATAGCCTCCTGAGTAGCTAGGATTACAGGTGTGAGCTACCAACACTAGGCTTGTATGCTATTTTAAATGATGCTGCAGGAATAGCTTCACATCCCTCCACCCGCCACCCCCTTTCTTCAGCACTGAGATTTTAACTCAGGGTCTCATTCTTGCTAGGCAGGCACTCTATCCCTGAGCCACACCCTCAGCCTGTTTTCACTAGTGATTTTTTCAGATAAGTTCTCTCATTGTCCACCACTGACCTCACTGCTCTTACCCCCATTACTGAGATGAAAAGCAGCTGCCACCATGCCCAGTTTATGTGTTGATGTGGGGTCTTGCTAAATTTTTGCTGGGGCTAGACTGGTACTGTGAACTTACTGATCTCCATGTCCCCCGTAGCTTAGATGAAGGCACAGGCCACCATGCCCAGCCCTGTGCATATGCTTCTTTCTGTGTCAGTGTGAATATTTTCAGATATTGGAATGAGCTGGCTTGTCTGCTGGAGTAAGCACTCAATGCTGGCACCTGCTTGTGGGTTGGGGGAGTCAAGAACTGGGCATGCAGGTCCCAGAAGGAGACCCCTGGGGGGGGGCTGGGAGTGTGTTGCAGGTGTCTGGTGCCACCCTAGGACTCAACACCTTTCCTTCCCTGCAGCCTGTGTGTGTGGGGCTGAGCTGAGGCTGCTGGGAGCCAAGTTCACTGTCCTAGCTGATCACCATGGCTGGTGTCCTGCAGGTAGTCCTGGCCACTCTCCTCCTACTGCCTGTGGTAAGAACCTACAACCTCCCTCCATAATTCTTCTGGATCCCAGAGACCCTGTCTTTGTGTGCCTACAGTTATGCTCATCCCAGCACCTTCTGGGGACCACCCAGCATCTTTGAGTTAGAGATGGACCCCACCTCTAGAGAGAGGCCCGCATTTTCAAATCTATGGATGGCTACCCTTTCCATATTGTTCAGCATGGCATGTAGAGGCCCTGGGTGGGGTGCAGAGGCTCTGTTAGCTTCCTCTTCCCAGCTATTGGCACTACCAGCTCTGGACTCTAGAGAAGTACTCTGCTGATGTCCCTCTGGCAAGGAGCAAGTAGGAAGTGAAGGCTCCCTACTATGAGCCCCACCACCCTGCCTAGGAGTCTGGGTACCTGTTGTGTTGCTGTCCTGTGTGACTGGCAAACCCAGGGCCTTCAGGGAGCTGCCTATACACCTGTGAGCATGGCCCTCAGCAGCTCAGATGCACAACCCCCTCCACACGCATACACATTCTTGATGGAGCCATCCTGGCCCTTGATTCAAATGACAGTGTCATCGAATGCAGTGGCCATCATTGCTATGTGTGCTGTGAAGTCCCCTGTTCTGAGCTAGAGTTGTTGGGCATGAAAGAGCTATGTAACCTGGGCTGTGGTGTTTTAACTTCTCTGAGATCATTTCTCCTCCTCTGTAAATGAGAGGAGGCTCCTGAATGCCTCCTCCTTCTGCAACTCCAAAGGACAGGAGAGGCATGCTCTCAGCCTAGCCCCTGCTTGCTTGTCTGATCCTGGGGGCCCCAGGCTGCCTAGAATCACACCCTGGCTCCAGTCCTCTAAGCCGTGAGGCCTAGCAAGTTCCTATCTCTATCTGTTTCCATATCTGTAAAATGGACAATGATACAAACTATCTCACATACACCTACACATATGCACACACATGTGCATGCTCATGTATGTGTGTGTGCATACATACACACACACACACACACACACACTCATGACATTCAGAATAGTTGCCTGCCCTGCTGGAGTACTTCATGGGTGTTTGCCAAGGTTATCGACGTGGAAGAGTGGGGTCCATGCTAGCCTCACCGTGTTGGTGACCAAGAGGAACCCCATGGTAATTATGAGAGTGGATGCCCTGGCCCTAGAACAAGTTCTCTGCCCTCTACTTTTCCTGTTTCTTCCCAGCTACCCTCTGGTTTCTGCCCTGGGTTAGGAGCCTTGTGGGTGGTCACCCTTCCCACCAGTCTTACCGTCCATCTGTGTGTCCCGCAGGCCACCACCATGCACTCTGACTGCATCTTCAAGAAGGAGCAAGCTATGTGCCTGGAGAAGATCCAGAGGGCCAACCGCCTGCTGGACTTCAATGATTCCTCCCCAGGTGAGTGAGGTCGCAGAGTAGCTCACTATCCCTGCATGAAGGTGGCCTTCCCCAGCCTCTTCTGTACTCTGCAGCATGACAGAAGGCACTGCTCTGGGGCTGTTGCATCCTGCCTCTGGATGTGGCAGTCCTGTCTCCCCAAGGGGCTAAGACGCAGCTGGAGCCTGGCCTGGCCAGCAGCTGGCCAGGAAGCTTGCTGGGTTGCCACCTGGGCCGGTGGCAGCAGAAATGCAGCTGCTGTGGTGTCTGGGCTGTGAGAGCATTGGTCAGTGTCAGGTGGAACTGTCTCCTCCAAGTGCCGGGGCTGAGGTCAGAGCGGAGAGCAGCAGGTGTCCTGGTCACCTGTGTACCACAGGGCTCCCGGGGGGCTGAGTGCCTGTGGTGGACATGGCCACAGTCTTGGGGTGTTGTCATCCTCAGCCTCTTCCAGGGGGCTCATGGCACCCCAGTCCCAGGCATTAAAGGATGCCCTTGAATGATTCCTATTGCCAAGGGAGAAGTGCTGCATCTGTGAAGCCCAGAGGCTCTAGATAACCTCTGCTTCCAACTCCCTGCTTCAGGTGGGTCCTTGGGACCCATGGAAGCAATGCATCCTCTGCTCCCATCTGTGGGGACATGGAGGCCTGGGGGTTCTGCCCCCCTCTCCTGTGTGGTCACTGGAGGGTGGGCTCTCTTCCCTGGTCAGGGGCTATATGATTTCCTTAGAGCCCTCACAGCTTTTCTGAGCACCCAGTGTCTGAAGGCTTCACTGATCTGTAGCCCAGTTAGATGTAGCGGTTTAAGCTGCCTGTCCTGCACCTCAGTGAAGACAGCCGGGAGAGAGGTGCCCCAGTCAGGGCTGCCTTGCCAGCCTGCCCAGCAAAGGCTCAGCCCCGACCCAGCCCACCCAGCATAGGCTCAGCCCTGTGGACTCTATATAAGTCTGTCCACCTACTAGGGAAATAGCGGCAGGGGCCCAGAGGGGTGCAGATCTGGAGGAGACTCAAAGACTACCCAAAAATTATCTGGTCCAAGTGTCTTGTTTAGGAGATACAAAGTAAGGTGCTAGAATGCCTGCTCAGATCACATGGCTGGGTCTAGATCTTAGATATCTGCCTTCAAGCTCTGTTGTTCCTGAATGTCAGGTCTCTGGGTGGAGCCACTGCTATCCTTCTGTCCAGGAGGAGAAAGGTGAGGTAGGCAGGAGGATGGCAGGAGCTGTGTGCCTTTTAATAGTGCCCCATCTTTTGAGCCCTGGGCTGCAGCAGGACAGCAGAGACTTGCTCCATGAGTGCCCTGTCTAAAGTGGAGGATTGCAAGGCATTGCTGGCAGGAGCCTTTTGCTGGTGTGCTGGAGGGCTGGGGTGAGTGTTGTTAGAGGACAGGAGACATGACCTGCTAGAGAGTCAGATAATATAGAAACGGATGGAGGATCAAATGATGCAGGAACTGCTGGAGAGTCAGACAATGCAGGAACTGCATTGTCTTTGGGGACTTTGAGAAGAATGTACTCCAGCCACCATCCACGCTGATTAAATCAGAACCAAAGGTGGCCACAGCCACTGATGTCTAAAGACTCCAAGTGGTTCTTAGGGCTGGATGGAGTGACAGGGCCCTGTGCTAGGCCCAGGGCATAGGTAGGCATTGAGCAGCAGAGAAGAATGAAAGATGACCCAGAGAGATGACTCCAAACTAGAGGCCACATCTACAAGAGGCCTGGGGTGGGAGCTGGCCAACTCAGGACTCCGACAACCTGTGTCAGAGCCCTGGACCAACTCTGAGGGTGCATATACATTCCAAGTCCACTTCTAGGGGAGCTCTGGATTCTTGTGGCCACTCATGAAGGCTAGACTTAGCTCGGGGCTGAAAGCCTGCCAGCTCAACCCTCAACCCTCCTTTGCTTACTGGATACACAGTGGCCAGGGTACCATGAGGGCCAGGAAGGGCTGGGTCTCAGAGAGATACACTGCCCAGAGCTGCTGTGGGCAGTGGGAAGGAGACAGGGAGAAGGCACTTCCTGTTGGCTGGTATAGTGGCAGGGAACCCCACAGCCTGGAGGAGGGCATGGGATGAGGGTTCCTCAGAGGTGAGGCTGGCAATAGCCTTCCTCTAGTCCTGAGCATCTGGAGGAGAGAGGGAGCTTCACCCTCCAGTGACCTGCCTAAAGAGAGGGTCTCACCCTTGTGTTCTTCCCTCCCATGACCTTGAGTTAGGAAGTGGGGCAGGACAAGGCCAGGCCTCAGAGCTAATATAGCAGAAGCTTTACACAGTTTGCGGGGGGGGGGGGGGGGGAAGAGGAGACTAATGGCCAGCCATGAACTCCATGGCTCTTTCCTGCTCTAGGACCGTTGTACAAGGAGGGGTTGAGATGATCATGTGGATGGCCAATGTGGATTAGACTTGCTGAGTGCCAGGCACAGTGCTGGCAGACCACCAGAGAAACCTAGAGGGCTGTTATTCCTGTTTTTTAGGAAACTGAGGCATAAGGAGGTTCTGCACCTTAACAAGACAAGTGTGTTATGAGCAGACATGGAATTTGAACTTGAACTCAAGGTGTCTGGGCCTCAGCCACTGTGTGTAAGCCTCAGGAGATGACATTGTGTCCTAAAGCTCTCCCTAGCTCCAGCTTGAACAGTATAAGCTAGGGTTACTGTGTTGAATGAGAAACCCATGGAGAAGTGCACAGGGTAGTGGGCAATGTTTGCTAAGTACCTGATAGAGATTCTATGCTTGAGTATGACTGCCTCGGTTTGGAGGGCTATGGGGTTGTCCATATTCTTCTAGGTCGGTGCTAGAGCACACAGAATCTCCAGGAATCAGGCCAGTGCTGTTTGGAACATCTAGAAAGAATCCTGAGAGGAGAAGGATAGGTCTGAGGGCTGTACTTGTGCTTAGGAGAGTGGATGGAGAGACAGGGAAGGGAGAGGCATAGAGGTAAAGGTGTGAACAGGGAAGGGGTGAGGAGAGCAAGGTTGTCCTAGCTAGGTCTTATGAGCTTGTTTCCTGGGCTAGCCTTGAAACGATGACCTTCTGATATGAGCCTGCTAGGATTCCAGACACGAGCCGCCACCTCCAGACACACCTACTGTTTTCTCATACTACTGGTGGCACAGTAGGATTCGTTTCTACTAGCATTCTTGATAGTGTGTTGAGTTATCACCAAGCAGTAGGAATTCCCTACTGCTGCTGTAAGGTTATCAGTGACCATGGTGCTATTGGTCTGCTCTTAGTGTCATTATGCGGCAGATGAATGCATTGCCTGTTTATGTTTCTCCATGTGTATCTTTTGTGGGTCTTCTTGTAATCCTTGTAATCTAGTAAGGTAGTAAGGTAGGTTGGTGGAATAGGAACTATTGGTGTGTTGAGGGGGTGTGGTGGTATGTGTGGGTTGAGGTGGGGGGTTTGGAGGGGTTGCGTTCCCTCCTCCCACTGCTGGTCCTCATTGGTCCTGGGGCCCGAGATGGCAATGTGAGGGAGACAGTGGGAGTGGGAGCAGTGCGGCAAGGAAACGTTTGGCAGCCGGAGGCGTGTTCTCACCGAGTTGTTCGGTTTGCGGCATCCTTGGCTTGTGTCACGGGTGTTTCTTACACAGGAGGTCTGGAGGTGGTTTTGTCCCTCACTCTAGCCCTTATGCTGAATGGAGTTTGAGCCAACCCCAGCCTGGCTCTGTCATGTGACCCAGGGAACAGCCAAGGCCAGAGGTGGCACATGGAGGGTGAGAGCCAGTCCAGCTGGTGCCCAGGTCTGCTGCCCAGAGGGAAAGCTCTTTTCTGCTGCAGTGCCCTTGGGGCCAGAGCAGGAGGAGGGCCGTTGTGCGTGGGAACGGCTGCTCTCCTGGCTGCAACGGGCCAAGCAGTCCCCAGGCACAGTCTGCTGGGCTTAGTTCCTGGGGCCCAGCTCAGAGGCCTGGCTGTCCAGAACCAGGCCAGCCAGTGCCTCCTCTTTGCAGGCCCGTCGGCATCCATCAGCCTGGAAGCCTTCCAGCTGAGGGAGGGCTGGCCAGCCCTCTAGAGGATGTGGATGAGGCCGGCTATGGCAGTATAGGACAGAAAAGATCTGCAGGTTATTAGTCTGTCCTGGGTGCCTTGCTCCAGCCCCCTCTATACTCACCTGGAGGTAGGAATGTCACTCTGGGTTCATTTTCTACCCAGCTGTAGCTTTTCTATTGCTTGGTTATCATTGATGGAAGCACACATCCTGCTCCTAGACAGCTTGTAAAAACGCAGATTGCTGGGTCCCACCTACAGGCTTCCTCATTCTTAGGCCTGGGAGACACTGAGCTCCTGCATTCTGGCAGGTTCCCAGGTGTGTTGTTGGCCTGGGGTCCAAGTTTTGAGATCAGTTCATTCCTAAAGGGAAGGGCTATGTCTTGGATTCTCCCCTACCCCTTCAACATTTACCTCATGGGTGAGTGGGGGACCTCAATTTATGAAAAGAAGAAACCTTTGGCTGTAAAGTAAGTTTCAGTAAATTGAATATTTTTCACCTTTGAATTGTATGCTCAGATGGAGGCCTTGCTCTAACAATACTGGAGCATATCCACAGAAAGACAGTGGCTTTGTCTGTCATTCTGGTGTTCCTGGTCTCAGGAGTTTTGAACATTGTGTGGAACTGGACAGAATTATCACCATGACAACCTGAGATTAGCTCTCCTCATCCGGTTCCAGGCGAGAGCTAATAGCCCTGCATTCCCTCTCAGTTCGGCCTGCCTAAGTGGAATCTGTCCCTCCCACTGTCACGATTCACTGCCACCCCCTGGCTACTTTGTGTTCAAGGTCCTAGGTGGGCACAGCTCAGAGAGCATGCAGTGCTGCTGCCGTCATGGTGCCCACCTTCCTCTGCCCACAGTGAGGCCTTTGCAGGCTAAGCCAGGAAGGTTCAGGAGGGCTGGTGTAGAATTGGGGGCAGGGAGAGGTGAAGAGGGAGGTTTAGGTGAGGAGCCAGAAGTGGAGAGGGCTCTCAAGAGATCAAGACCTCTTCTGATTTTTGGCTTTCTCTGGAAGAGGAAAGGGAAGTGGGAA